TCCTAGCCTCTAAACGGGTACCTAACCCTTATGATCGTAAAGGGGTGATTGATCGTAAAGGGATCCAAGGGCTAAGGATAGAGTTCGGGGTAACCTACCCTAACACTAGCGATATTTGGATGTGTTCAGCGCCAATATAATATCCCAAATAAACTGCATTCTTGTGCATAATAAATGAATCGAAAAAATAATATGTGTATGTAAGTTCCCATTTATAACCATTTTAGCCACTTGAATTACGAGAAAAACAAAATAAAAAATATTTAAAAATAAAAGTGCTTTCGTAAACTAGCCCTTGCTATAAAATGTGCCAACGCAGGCTATATTTAGTAAACAAATATTCAAAACTCTCCACACTGCTTGGCGTATTCAATGACATTTCATGTAGAGATGATTGATCACTTGGAGGAGCTTATGCACACTCGATGACCCCTGACATCACAGGGAATTGTTCCACCGGTGTGACTGGCAACAAAATACTACAAATGACGTCATGGGGTATTGTCACGTGTTTGAAAAGTTAATGGTACTGTATTCTAAAGGTAGGCCCAATGATTGTACCTTCCAGACTACATATTGAAAAATCTATTTATGGCCATTACTTGGCCAATATTGTATAAAATACAATGAAATTGGATATGTGTTTAATAAATTAGAATTTTGTTATATTTCAGTTTTTTATGATCATTGTCTTATTTTTATTTAATTGCATATTTTGCTCTATAAACTTCCCCTCTGAAATTGCCAGGCTGCAGGAGTTGAACCTTGGGTGTGTTTCTGCTTCTTTTGTCTTTAGATTTTTGTGTTACTTTGTATGCAGTCTATATTTAAATAGCAATGCTTACAGCAACTTTTCTTAAAAAGTTAACTCTTTGATATTTTAAACAGGGCCATATTTTTGTCTTTTCCCCACATTAGAGGAGATGGGTAGAAGGCAGTAACAAATGTCAAGTATACTTTTGACACACTAGCCGAAGCCACTGCATGGGTCTATCGAGACATTGGAGCTGGCTAACAGAGGATTTTATGAGGGCTTCTAAGGATCAACTCCTGTGTCACGTCATAGATACACAAAGATTTTATGATCTCTGAAATTAAAATATTTTAAAGAAAAAAAGCAGTTGTTAAATAAAGTATTAGGACAATTAAGGAACTCACAGACACTCTTCATTTTTTAGCCTGAAACTGCAGTAATCTAGACTTGCCAACTATAATAGATTTGCATGGTATTGGATATATATTGCTCGACTCAGACACATAATAAGGATATCATTATAACACTGCAGGGCTCAACGTTAGAAACTCAGGTGTGCCATTGGACCTTTTTTGCTGGTGAGCCAGTTTCTATTTGGGTGTGTCTTGTCTTTGTTACCCAGTAAGTAGAACAAAAGGCAGCTAATCCATTCAGATAAAACCTTGTAATTACATGAAAGTTGTTATGTTGTATAGTACAGAGAGATCATACTCACTAATATACTGACTAAGTTGTTTCATGAAACATACGCATGATGGGAACATAATGATGATATATTGAGTGTCTTTTTCGTTTAAGGGGATTAAACCTTTTTCCAACTTCAGTTCCACTAGTTTTGTCAAACTGCATATTGAACACCTAATGTATTTTAATGTTCACTGGATTGTAAATGTGTTTCAAGTTTGCTGGTTCTGAAACACCTTGAACCATTGAAGAAAATAAATACTGGTTGACCATACTCTTTGCAAATTTTGCAACATATTAAAGTTTCATCCCTGTCACATATTAACCACATATTGTACTTTGGAAGAGGTCAATTACTTGCATTTATTTTGAAGATTATTTTGGCTTAGTTCATCTGAACTGTCACATGTGTCAGCCATGTCTGAATTCAATTTTGCTTCTCGGGGATATAGGCTGTTTTCCTTGCTCGTCGTCTGCAGTAACTATAATAGAAGTTGCAGCAGCAGACTTGAAGAACTACAAATTAGTGGAGTTTTTCTTTTAAGAAGTTTCTATTTTGACAAGTAGCTATTGTCTATGAGTAATGCACTGTGGTATTTTTTGTAGAATGACAAAAACTTTTCACTGGGATCAGAGCACTGGTAGCCGGAGGGTCCTCCAGTGTCTGCTGCTCCAGGTCTGTGCTGGGTTATATCATCACTGGGATCAGAGCACTTGTAGCCGGAGTGTCCTCGAGTGATGCCTGCTCCTGGTCTGTGCTGGGTTATAACATCAGTGGGATCAGAGCACTGGTAGCCGGAGTGTCCTCCAGTGTCTGCTGCTCCAGGTCTGTGCTGGTTATATCATCACTGGGATCAGAGCACTTGTAGCCAGAGTGTCCTCGAGTGATGCCTGCTCCAGGTCTGTGCTGGGTTATAACATCACCGGGATCAGAGCACTGGTAGCCGGAGGGTCGTCAGGTGACACCAGCTCCTGGTCTGTACTGGGTTATAACATCACTGGGATCAGAGCACTGGTAGCCGGAGTGTCCTCCAGTGTCACCTGCTCCAGATCTGTGCTGGGTTATAACATCACTGGGATCAGAGCACTGGTAGCCGGAGTGTCCTCCAGCGTCTGCTGCTCCAGGTCTGTGCTGGGTTTTAACATCACCGTGATAAGAGCACTTGTAGCCGGAGTGTCATCCAGTGTCTTCTGCTCCAGGTCTGTGCTGGTTATAACATCACTGGGATCAGAGCACTGGTAGCCGGAGAGTCCTCCAGTGTCTGCTGCTCCAGGTCTGTGCTGGGTTATAACATCACTGGGAACGGACCACTGGTAGCCGGAGTGACCTCCAGTGTCTTCTGCTCCACGTCTGTGCTGGGTTATAACATCACTGGGTTCAGGGCACTGGTAATTGGAGTGTCCTCCAGTGTCTGCTGCTCCAGGTCTGTGATGGGTAATAACATCACTGGGATCAGAGCACAGGTAGCCGGTGACACCAGCTCCTGGTCTGTGCTGGGTTATAACATCACTGGGATCAGGGCACTGGTAATTGGAGTGTCCTCCATTGTCTGCTGCTCCAGGTCTGTGCTGGGTAATAGCATCACTGGGATCAGAGCACTTGTAGCCGGAGTGTCCTCGCGTGATGCCTGCTCCAGGTCTGTGCTGGTTATAACATCACTGGGATCAGAGCACTGGTAGCCGGAGGGTCATCAGGTGACACCAGCTCCTGGTCTGTGCTGGGTTATAACATCACTGGGATCAGGGCCCTGGTAATTGGAGGGCCATCAGGTGACACCAGCTCCAGGTCTGTGCTGGGTTATAACATCACCGGGATCAGAGCACTGGTAGCTGGAGGGTCATCAGGTGACACCAGCTCCAGGTCTATGCTGGGTTATAACATCACTTGGATCAGGGAACTGGTAATTGGAGTGTCCTCCAGTGTCTGCTGCTCCAGGTCTGTGATGGGTAATAACATCACCGGGATCAGAGCACAGGTAGCCGGAGGGTGATCAGGTGACACCAGCTCCAGGTCTGTGCTGGTTATAACATCACTGGGATAAGAGCACTGGTAGCCGGAGTGTCCTCCAGTGTCTGCTGCTCCAGGTCTGTGCTGGGTTATAACATCACCGGGATCAGAGCACTGGTAGCCGGAGTGTCCTCCAGTGTCTTCTGCTCCTGGTCTGTGCTGGGATATAGCATTACTGGGATCAGAGCACTGGTAGCCGGAGTGTCCTCCAGTGTCTGCTGCTCCATGTCTGTGCTGGGTGATTACATCACTGGGATCAGAGCACTTGTAGCCAGAGTGTCCTCGCGTGATGCCTGCTCCAAGTCTGTGCTGGTTATAACATCATCGGGATCAGAGCACTGGTAGCCGGATGGTCGTCAGGTGACACCAGCTCCTGGTCTCTGCTGGGTTATAACATCACTGGGATCAGAGCACTGGTAGCCGGAGTGTCCTCCAGCATCACTTGCTCCAAGCCTGTGCTGGTTATAACATCACTGGGATCAGAGCACTGGTAGCCGGAGTGTCCTCCAGTGTCTGCTGCTCCAAGTCTGTGCTGGGTTATAACATCACTGGGATCAGAGCACTGGTAGCCTGAGTGTCCTCCAGCGTCACCTGCTCCAGGTCTGTGCTGGTTATAACATCACCGGGATCAGAGCACTGGTAGCTGGAGGGTCCTCAGGTGACACCAGCTCCAGGTCTGTCCTGGGTTATAACATCACTGGAATCAGGGCACTGGTAATTGGAGTGTCCTCCAGTGTCTGCTGCTCCAGGTCTGTGCTGGGTTATAACATCACTGGGATCAGAGCACTGGTAGCTTGAGGGTCATCAGGTGACACAAGCTCCAGGTCTGTGCTGGTTATAACATCACTGGGATCAGGGCACTGGTAATTGGAGTGTCCTCCAGTGTCTGCTTTTTTGGTGTATAACATGCACCCCTTCTATACAGCTTAATATTTTCAGTATACACAAGGTATGCAGACTGTCATGTACTGTAAACATTTGGGCTTCGTACTGGGGGCTTTCAAAGATCAATTTCATATTGGTCTGGAAGTTTGTCAAGAGGTCCTCATTGGAGCCTGGTGCTTAATATTGCGAATACATTACTTGTAATTGTTTAGATTAAAGAGGAAGGTTACTTTTGTTTCGCTTCAGGATACCATTGCACATGTATACAATAGCAGTTAAAAATACATATATCAGCCTTGGATTTATGTCATGCCACATCTTAAGTAGCCTGACATTTATATATCAGATGGGCCTCACTTGTGTTTCATGTCCTAATGCTGTATGTATTAAATTGTGCCACGCCCTCCTGGCCAGGAGAGTCCTCCTCAATCCAGCCCCTGCAGACATAAATCAAGTGCTGTTTCTGTGTTGTGATATTTGAGGGTTTGAGAAATGTGACACAGATAATAAGGCAGACATTGTTTTAGTGTGTGTTGTGCCAGGCTGTGTGGTCTGTAGCCAGGGTTTGCTGTCCAGCATGGACCTGGTGCTCACAGACATAGTGAAACTGGTCCGACTGGGTTAGTATGAAGGGACTTGTAGGCTGAAGTGTTGACATATCTGTTTCAGGTGCTCGGGAATGTTGATGGAGGGCAACATGGACAAATGACCAGTGGCCAGCCTGCCACTTTAGGTAATATACTGCCTCGCTGGGTAACAGCAGCTGCCTGGATACAGGCAATCATTGTCCTGTGATTGGTGGTCTTCTGTGTTAAAAACAGTCGATCAAGTGTTCATTGACAATTCAGATGCCTATTTATGTCTTTAAGCTTGCTCTTTGTAATACTTAAATGTTAAGATGTGGGACATACTGGCTAACAGAAGCTTATTGTCAGAACACACAGATTGGTCACATTATCTTTTGAAAATGACTAATAATTAAGGCTACAAATTGAGCAGCTTTCAGACCCTGTATATGTATAGGATTTATTATCCCCGCCCAATGAAGTTGGCGGGGGATATAGAAACGGGCTCTGTCCGTTCATCCGTCCGTTCGTCACGTTTCGTTTCCGGAGCATAACTCAGAAACCGTTCAATATTTTTTCAGGTCAATAAACTTTGCAGGTATGTCAGGTACATGCTGAACTGGTGTCTTTTGCTATTAAAATTTTAGGAATTTATATTTTTTTATTTTTCCATGGCAACAAGTTGAACATTTAGAAATTAATGAATTCTTCTTTTAAATGCCAAAATATTCAACTTGATACCCATTTAACCTGTTTAAGGAATCTTATAAGTCATAATAAAGTTTTTTTTTGTGCCTACATTTTGTGTTGGAGGTATCTCCCATAGTAGGGGAAACTGTGCATACCAAGTTGTCAGTATGTGCCTCAATAATGGTTGAGTGTAACATTCGTTTAATGACTTCATTATCAAATCCATCATCCCTACTTCTGCATTGATTATGAGAGAGATGATTGTGCAATAAGATGGCATACTTCTCTATGAAACTTTTAACAGTTTTCAGCACATGTTGATATGAAGACTTTTGTGCTGTAGAGTTTTTACATTCACATTTATAATATTGTCTTGTTTTGTTTGTTTTTTCACTGTATCATATCACATGGTATGACCATATTGTTAAAAAGCCACAACATAAAATGTGTGTGGCACTCGTGGCAGCCTACTTCCTCGCAGTAAGTGCCGGTAACATGACTTGTAATGTTTTTTCTTTCTCCCACCCTAATGAATTCAGTAGTAAATGTAGTAACTGGTTTTGTCAGTTTGTACTTCCATCATGTTTTTTGTTTTATTTTTTTCATGAACTTCATAGAAATTGTGTTTTGCGGCATTTTATTTTGTTTCTTCAGGATATTTTGCATTTTCATACAGTAGATGTTCCCTTGCTGCCTTTTACTCCTTAAGTTTTTTTGAATATTTTCAAATGTATGTGTTTGTGTGATCAAATGTCACTATAGTTGACATAATATACACTTCATTTGCTTGGCAGGAGACTTGGTCACGTTAGTGGCAAACTCTTCTTTATTTTACAATTTCCATGACAACAAGTTCCACCTCGGTTAAAAAAGGTTAGGGTTTGTATAGATTTAATTATGTCATAAATTCTGCAACAGAGGCGGGGGATATGGCCACGTCAGTGGCAAACTTTTGTTGAACCATGTCATGACGTTTATTTTAGTTATGAGACATTTAGTTATTTCATATGTCCTTGAATTTTATGAGGTTTCCTTTCAAGAATCTCTCCTGTTTTATTGCCTGTGACTATACTACCATGAAACAAATAGTGTTATCAATGATTTACCCGTTGTCTGTGTGCTGCTTCAGGTGTGGAAAGTAGGCCGAGCACCATAGAGGAGGTGGCCTCGTGTCCTGAAGAAAACAACAATGTCCAGGAGAAGTTGACTATTCGTGATGTAGAATCTGATGTGATGGACAATTTTGCTGGAGTTGTGGATACTGCTGGTGTGCCCAGTGGGTCAGACAGCATAGAGAGGGAGACATCCAGTGGCCACAGTGACAACACTGTGTCTGCCCACAGTGACAGTGCAATAACATACCAAGAGGATGATGATGGCACAGTGACGGTCCAGCAGGTGACTCAGGATGACCATCAGGATAGGGTAGTGACTGTCCGGTCCAAGATTTTCCGTACTCCCAGCAATGCCCAGGCTGAGGAGCGGGACACTGTTGTAGAGACGTTGTTCACATCGCCCGGTGGAACACAACTGCAAGAGCGTGATGTCATCAAGACCAAGAAGAGGCTGACATCTCGAGGTTCCAACTACTTCCAACGCAGTGTGCAAGTCACAAGACGGGTTCGGGACACAGCAGGTGGGGAGGTCGTGGAGCAGGATAACTGTGTGGAGTCCGACAGCAAGTCAGTGTCCAAGGGGCAGTCGTGGGGAGACAGAGTCATCACCAAGGTCACCCTAGACAAGCCGAATCAACAGCAGCCCATGATACAAGAGGCAGCAGATGCACCTAAGAAATCCCATGCTACCCTGGTGCTGAGCAAGCTGAATGTGTCCAAGGCCAGCAGCGGGTATGGGAGTGTGTCCGGGTCAGAGGAGGATGACCGTGAGGAGATCATAGACATCCATCAGACAAGACCAAAAGGTGAGATATCAATGATGTAGGGGTCAGTTAGGTGAGATATCAAGGATGTAGGGGTCAGTTAGGTGAGACATCTAGACTGTAGGGGTCAGTTAGGTGAGACATCTAGACTGTAGGGGTCAGTTAGGTGAGATATCCAGACTGTAGGGGACAGCAGGGTGAGATAGCCAGACTGTAGGGGACAGCAAGGTGAGATATCCAGACTGTAGGGGACAGCAAGGTGAGATATCAAGGCTGTAGAGGACAGCAAGGTGAGATAGCCAGACTGTAGAGGACAGCAGGGTGAGATATCCAGGCTGTAGGGGACAGCAGGGTGAGATAGCCAGGCTGTAGAGGACAGCAAGGTGAGATATCCAGGCTGTAGTGGACAGCAAGGTGAGATATCCAGACTGTAGAGGACAGCAAGGTGAGATAGCCAGACTGTAGAGGACAGCAAGGTGAGATATCCAGGCTGTAGGGGACAGCAAGGTGAGATATCCAGACTGTAGAGGACAGCAAGGTGAGATAGCCAGACTGTAGAGGACAGCAAGGTGAGATAGCCAGACTGTAGAGGACAGCAAGGTGAGATAGCCAGACTGTAGAGGACAGCAAGGTGAGATAGCCAGACTGTAGAGGACAGCAAGGTGAGATAGCCAGACTGTAGGGGACAGCAAGGTGAGATATCCAGGCTATAGGGTACAGCAAGGTGAGATATCCAGACTGTAGAGGACAGCAAGGTGAGATAGCCAGACTGTAGAGGACAGCAAGGTGAGATATCCAGACTGTAGAGGACAGCAAGGTGAGATATCAAGACTGTAGAGGACAGCAAGGTGAGATAGCCAGGCTGTAGGGGACAGCAAGGTGAGATATCCAGGCTGTAGGGGACAGCAAGGGGAGATATCCAGACTGTAGAGGACAGCAAGGTGAGATAGCAAGGCTGTAGAGGACAGCAAGGTGAGATATCCAGACTGTAGGGGACAGCAAGGTGAGATATCCAGGCTGTAGGGGACAGCAAGGTGAGATATCCAGACTGTAGAGGACAGCAAGGTGAGATAGCCAGACTGTAGAGGACAGCAAGGTGAGATATCCAGACTGTAGGGGACAGCAAGGTGAGATATCCAGACTGTAGAGGACAGCAAGGTGAGATATCCAGACTGTAGAGGACAGCAAGGTGAGATATCCAGACTGTAGGGGACAGCAAGGTGAGATAGCCAGACTGTAGAGGACAGCAAGGTGAGATAGCCAGACTGTAGGGGACAGCAAGGTGAGATATCCAGGCTGTAGAGGACAGCAAGGTGAGCTGTAATGTCTATAACATATGAACAGTCTACTCACTTCAGGACATTCTTTCCAATAGGATTAGTTTACTCTCATCCCTAGTTCCAAACACCTTCCTTGAATATTTCAATGCAGGTCTATGTGTATTGTGTTGACAGGCATCCATGACTACATCTCCCGTATAGTGTCATGTGGTCTCCGCTCCGCTGCCCCTGCGGAGGAGGGAGGAGGAGGGTGCACTAGACGTATAGTGGTTAGAAAGAAACATGTTTACCCTGGCTGGAGAGTTTGTACGCATGTTTCTGTGTTCCCACACCCTATGTAGCTGTGTTGTGTGCTGTTACACATTAATGTTGTGCACTGTTTGATGTGTGGACTTACGCTGTCACAAGATGTTGTGTTTCAATCCTGCATGTTGGCAGTATGGCACATGGACACCACATGTTCCTCAGCAACTACACTTACAAAAGATGACTGATAAGATCTGAGCCTCACATTTTGTTTTCCTGGGACAAGTCATAAAAAATGAGCAGGGGTCAGTGACCTTTGGAGTAGAGACAAACTTGAGGAAAGTGCAGTGAAAGCCATCCATGAAGATATGAGTACAACACTAGGGAAGGATGAGTACAACACTAAGGAAGGATGAGTACAACACTAGGGAAGGATGAGTACAACACTAGGGAAGGATGAGTACAACACTAGGGAAGGATGAGTACAACACTAGGGAAGGTTGAGTACAACACTAGGGAAGATCCAACACTAGGGAAGGATGAGTACAACACCAGGGAAGGATGAGTACAACACGAGGGAAGGATGAGTACAACACTAGGAAAGGTTGAGTACAACACTAGGGAAGGATGAGTACAACACTAGGAAAGGATGAGTACAACACTAGGGAAGGGTGAGTACAACACGAGGGAAGGATGAGTACAACACTAGGGAAGATCCAACACTAGGGAAGGATGAGTACAACACTAAGGAAGAATGGGTACAACACTAGGGAAGGATGAGTACAACACTAAGGAAGGATGAGTACAACACTAGGGAAGGATGAGTACAACACTAGGGAAGGATGAGTACAACACTAGGGAAGGATGAGTACAACACTAGGGAAGGTTGAGTACAACACTAGGGAAGATCCAACACTAGGGAAGGATGAGTACAACACCAGGGAAGGATGAGTACAACACGAGGGAAGGATGAGTACAACACTAGGAAAGGTTGAGTACAACACTAGGGAAGGATGAGTACAACACTAGGAAAGGATGAGTACAACACTAGGGAAGGGTGAGTACAACACGAGGGAAGGATGAGTACAACACTAGGGAAGATCCAACACTAGGGAAGGATGAGTACAACACTAGGAAAGGATGAGTACAACACTAGGGAAGGGTGAGTACAACACGAGGGAAGGATGAGTACAACACTAGGGAAGGGTGAGTACAACACGAGGGAAGGATGAGTACAACACTAGGAAAGGATGAGTACAACACTAGGGAAGGGTGAGTACAACACGAGGGAAGGATGAGTACAACACTAGGGAAGATCCAACACTAGGGAAGGATGAGTACAACACTAGGAAAGGTTGAGTACAACACTAGGTAAGGATGAGTACAACACCAGGGAAGGATGCCCCTTCCTTCCTGTGCCACTGTAAAGTGGGGTACAGCAGAGTTTAAGAGAACCTTGGAGACGAACCCCAGGTTTGGAAGGCCTGTGATATTAGCAACACCAGAAATGATCCAGACAATCAATGATATGGTGATGGTCGACCGGCGAATGACTGAGTGTCATATTGCTAGTTCAGGAGGCATTTCCCAGTACATTCCATTATCACAGAAACTTTGGCAATGAAGAAAGTATCAGCGAGTTGGGTTTCAAAGTTTCTGACATCTGATGAAAACAATGCACCAGACACAACATGTCTAATGATAACCTAGCTCTGTTTGAAGCTGATCCAGAAATGTTCTTGTAGCAAATTCGGATCATGAATGAAACCGGGGTTGACCACTTCCAGTCCAAACAACAATCAAATCAGTGAGAACATTTGACATCAAATATAATCATATCTAATAGTTGTGAGGGAAACCCTAACCCTCGCCAGGGGCGCCACTGCGCATGCACAAGGTGGGAATCACCTCACTTCTTTCCTGTGTGTCCAGATGACAACAAGGACAATTTTTGTTGCATACATCTGTACACGTGATTGCTGTTCCACACTTACAAGCCACACTAGATCATCACTAAAGACGAGGAGTGAGCAGTTCTAAAAGCAGAGAACAAGGGGGTATAAGGAGTCAGAAGTCTCTAGCAAGTAATAAGTTAGAAAAGTGTTGTTGGATGAGGACTTCATCCCCAAAACAGACACCCGTCTGTTCAGCTTATGGGCAACATCAAATCACTGGTGACCCTCATCCTACGTGCATATTGTGCAAAAGGGAACCAATGTACCTTTCGGGTTTTAACGTAACCAGTCACGTACATCCGGAAGCTCAATGACCCTGATTATAAGAACTCTAGAGCGTCAGCAAAATATTCATCTGCTTTATGTAAGAAAGTGATTAAGTCCGTTGTGACTACTAAAGATAATCACGTGGGTAACAAGCGAGTGTCACGCGAGGACGCCGTCTCGCCTTATGAGGAGAAGAGATCTCGTTGCTCATCCCACTCTCCCAATATAGTTAAGGAGCCGATGTACCTTTCAGACTTTAATGTAGCCTGTCAAGTGCATCCAGAAGCGACTGGTAAGGTGGATCATCTAGGCTTGGAAGAAGCAACTGATCTCCACTCTATGTCACGCTCCCCCTTTAACTTAAATGAGTTCGGAGAAAATAACCAATTCAATGTCTGTAATGATTGATAAACGTATGCAAACAATGTCTCAGGAAATCTCATATCTAAAAAGAATCCGTCGCACAACCCCGGCATGGCCAAACAGGGCTTGATCACAAGATTCAAAAGAGATCTAAGGGTGAATATGACAGGGCATCCTCATACAGCAGACACGCACAAAGTCACGCTGTATCAGATTATTATGAGGACAGCAGGAGATCGATAATCTCATAGATTTCCTCCCTAACACGCACATACCCTAACATAGGGTAGATCGTGAATCACAGGCATCGCATCGCAGTATGCACAGAAATACACACCAGTCACCTTCTAGCCACTATGATAGACGAACTGACATCAAAACTCGCGCAAATCAGCATGGAATTCCTAAGCGTGCGCCATCCCATATTGTCACACAGTCCAGTCATACGGGCGGAGAAAGCGAGGGAGATGTTACGTCACAATTATACAGTTACAGAACTTGTGATTCCTGCACTGCTAGCCATAGATCAGACAACCAGGATTACTCTACCTTCAGCAATATGACCCACCCCCAGCGCAGCCTGAGCAAGGGGTGCGGATCTATCACTAACACTGGTTATTCATGCAATGGGGACTCTACTACGGAGGATAATTATAAACCAAATAATTATTCCATTAAAGATATCATTGCAGAACTTTATAATCTAATGCCGGCCTTAAAACCAGATAACAAGGACAAATGCCTGCTAAATCCTTGTTAGACCGTGCTGGGTATGAAGAACCTGTCAGAAAGACTGAAGAATTCCATACCCTCCCCTGTCCGTCATATATTGATGACGTCATCAAGAAAATTGAAGCATCATTGAACGCTTCACCGGCGCATAATGTCAGACTTGGTTTGCCTGCTATTAATAAAATGTTTACACACGATGTCCCCTTCGCACAACAGCTGAGTATTGATGAAGATTTCTATGATCTGGTTATGAAACCCAACACCAGAATTCACGTTGACATGGCCAAAATCAGGGACTAAATCGATAAACAGATGATTAATATCAGTTCATATATTAACTGGATTGCAGCTGGAGTTCGCCACGTCATACCCCGAATAATCAGAGCGAAGGTCTTCTCTTAGACACCCCAACGGAGATGACACTATAGCAGACCGGGTTTATTCACAGCTCACTAGACCATATGCTGAAGATGCAGGAAGATCTTCAATCAGCACAGTTCCTGCTCATGCAAAGAAATCATCCACTGCAGCAAGTTCATCATAGGATCCCAGAGCCATTAAGAAGATCCATGCTATCACAGCCTATTACAGCGCCGCAGATATTCAACGGCAGACTGAAGTTAGTGAAGGAAGCCAATGCATCATCAACTAGTCAGAAGTTTCAAGTATCCCTGATCTCATTGGCATCCAAGATACAGAGACGGCCTGCAGATCTTCAGCATCAACAACAGAATCCTAGATCTTGTCATGTGAATTCTGGTCGGGATTCTTTTCGAGCCTCTACATGGAAGGACAGAACGTCTCACCTCATGTATAGGAACTCCAAAGATGATCATCCACTTCGCAGAGAGGACGAAGCAGAGGCAGAGGCAGTCTCCGAGGGGAATACCGCCGGAAATGACTCAACCAGAACGGATTCCTTCAGATCCTACCAACATTGCCTGCCCAGTGGACAACGATTTAGAACTACAGAAGATCAACGATACAACCACATTGAATCCAGTCGAACTAACCGGTCTAACAGACATCGACCCAAGACTACCCAAGTTCAGCATTTATCCTATTCCCGGACCAGTCGGAGGTCGTCTTATGCAGTACTCAGACAACTGGAAAATCATCACAGACGACTCATGGCTACTCGAAGTAGTTAGAAGAGGCTGCAAACTTCACTTCTTAAAACGACCAAGACTAGTCATCCATCCTACTGGACCCCATTCCATCTATCAGGACAAAAGTTAATTGCAGCAGAAGTGGCTGAAGAATTCTTCAGAGATGCGATTAATCATAGATCTAAAAGTCCTGAACAAAGATTATCTGGAAAACCTCCCAGTTTTCAGATGGAATCTATCAAGAAGTTGAAGAATGCCTTAAGACATCCATCCATGTCATCGTAGTTATCTGCGCTTCGCAGTCAACGGTCAGAGATACCAGTTCAGTGTACTTCCATTTGGCATATCCATCGCCCCATGGTTATTCACCAGGATTACCAATCCCATTCGCCCATATAAAGCTCATAAGGCTATATGGATATATAGACGATTTCCTATCGGCCAATCAGGACAAATCACAAATCAGATTAAATACAGTGTGCCTTATTCAACTACTAACAAACTTAGGTTTCCTGGTTCACCATAAAAAATCAGAATTAGTACCCACACAGGACATCACTTACATAGGCGCAAGATTTCTACTCAACAAGGGCATAGTAGTACCTCCAGAGGACAGATATGCAAGAGTAGAGCACATGATAACAAGCGCACTCGATCAGCCCATCAAATCGTGATGCTGGTGGAGGTCTTGCCTTGGCATGCTCACATCTATCCAAGATCTAACCTACAGAGGCAGACTACAATTACGGCCCCTGCAGAATTGGATGAATACCACCAAAGACCTAGAGCTGGAAGCCTAAATCCAACCTCCACAAGTTCGAATCTCAGAACTTCATTGGTGGCTGACTCGTCAAAATGTCATGCCAGGTATTCCACTCAAATATCCCAGCCCCCTACATCAACTCTACACAGATGCATCAGGAGAGGGTTGGGGTGCCCATTTCGATGATGTTACCATACAGGGAAAATGGTCCTCCAAAGAAAAGGAGTTACACATCAATTGTCTAGAAATGAGAGCGGTATATCTAGCCCTAGAAGCATGGCACGATCGTCTGCACCACTCGTCAGTAAACCCACGGAATGGTCACTACATCCCGAAATATTCAAACAGATAACCTGCCTATGGGATACTCCAAACCTAGATCTATTCGCCACATGTCTCAACAACCAGTCTATGTCAGCCCTGTACCAGACCCGCAAGCTCTCCAGGTCGATGCTCTCTCTATGGAATGGGAGGGAATGTTTGGGTACGCATTCCCCCCATGGGCTTTTCTAGACAGAGTACTGAAGAAAATAGAGGAGACAGACTGTGTCATAATTCTCATAGCCCTGGCATGGCCAAACAGGGCTTGGTTTCCAAGGTTACTACACCTCCTAGTGGAAGAACCTTTGAAACTCCAAGTATGTCATGACTTACTGAGACAACCGAAAACGGACATATTTTACAGTCGCCTCGACAATCTCAACCTTCACACTTGGAAGTTATCTTGAATAAGATGCAAGCTGCCGGTTAGTCTAAATCAGCTGCACGAAGTGGAAAGCTCATGGATACCAGCATCGTCTGCCCTATACAATAACAGATGGGAAAAGTTTGTCGAGTGGAGAATGAGAAAGCATTTACACGTGGAGATAACGATACCTATTGTGGCTGAATTCTTGCTCTATCTCAGAAACGACAAGAAATTATGACATGGCACTATCGAAGGCTATAGATCCGCCCTGGCATCGGTATTACAACACGATGGCCTATCTATAGGTACCCACCAAGTACTGAATCGATTCATGAAGTCCTTTGCACTGGAAGACATTAAAGAACCAGGTATATTTCCAAAATAGGACCTATCTATAGTATTGTTAGCATTAATGAAAGCACCATATGAACCCATGAGTAGTGCGACATTAGTATTAGTCTCCAGGAAGACTGCATTTCTCCAAGCCATGGCCCCTGCGGCTCGTGTATCAGAATTGCACGCTATTGACATTTCCACTGTAACTCATACCCAAGAATGGAAATCAGTGTCGTTCAGATCACTTTCAGAATTTATTGCCAAAAACCAGTCGTCAACCTTCGGCCCACTCGGACACAGGCAATACACAATACCAGCCTAAGTAAAAGTGTGGACTATCCGGACAGATTACTTTGTCCCATAAGAGCCTTGAGATACTTCATTACAGCAACTCAACCCCACAGAAAGCAGAGAAAATGCCTTTTTATCTCTTGCAAACCTTCGTCAGAAAAGGACATAACCAAGGGTACTGTAGCGGGATGGCTCAGATCGGTTATCGCAGATAGCTATAAACTGGCACAAGTCTCCAGGCCAACTTGGGGACACTGCAGGCCTCACGAGATCAGAGCCCTTGCAACAAGTCTAGCCACATGGAATACAGTATCCATTGAACAAGTCGTAGCTAGCTGCCAGTGGTAGTCCCATAACACGTTCTCAAACTTTTACTTACGAGACATACAGACCGATCTGGATGGACTATACACACTGGGACCCTTGGTGGCAGCCCAGGTGATAGTCTCCAAGTAACCTTGTTCCCCCCTCTTCCAGAAAGGGGAAAAAGAGGTGTGTGGGGTGTGGGGTGTGGGGTGTGTGTGTGAGGATTTCAGAATACCTCATGAACTCAGGGTAAGTTGACATTTTTACTTAGTTTGCTATTGGATTAGTAAACAAGGCAAGTGCCAACACTGAAATCAGAGATTGAAGGATTAAGTGATATACGGTTTCTACATGATAATCTAGGATGTATGACGTACTACCACCGGAAGTGACGTCATGGGAGACATCGCACCGGACTAACGTAAAAAAACCCGTTAAAAATCACTATCCAAAAGGGCATAACGGAAAACCATGTCATAAGTGGTAAGAGATCATAGAAGACATATACCACAACGTGGGCATGGAATGACAACCGGAAGTGACGTCACAGATGACGTCATCACCGGAAGTGACGTCATAATATGTCTAAGCATCACAGTGGTGGATATATACCCATTATTTGACGTTTGACATTTCTCTATGTCTAGCCTTGTAAGTAGACTTATAGACATATTCCGTTTGAGCCCCTTTTGGCATACAATCCTTGGGTTACCACTTCACAAAGCCAAATATCTAAGGGATGCTAGATACCAGAACCCACCGGTCCCTCTGGTGTATACTGGCAATGATGTAATAGAGGTAGGGTATTCACAAGAGTTATCAAACAATAGTTATCATTGTGAATAATTCTAAGAATACTACCTCTATTACATCAGCAATTAATCCCTCCCACCTCCCCCAAAATCTGCATCTAGTTGATGAGAGTAATGGGTTGAAAGAAGTGAGGTGATTCCCGCCTTGCGCATGCGCAGTGGCGCCCCTGGCGAGGGATAGTGTTTCCCTCACAACTATTAGATATGTTGGCAGTGAAGAGGACGTCAGTTGAAAATGTATAAAAATTTGTAGTGTGGTTCTCAGCATAAACAGGAATTTATGGCAATGATGTAATAGAGGTAATATTCATAGAATTAGTTACAATGATAACTATTGTTTGATATCTTCATTGCCATGGCTACAAGCCACAAGTGTGACTTTAAACACCTTCAACACCCACCTTGTTCTTCTGGTCTGGCTTCATCAGACTTCCATCTGTTTCCAAACATGAAAAAAGCTCTACCTGGGACACATTTCAACTTGCATGATGACGTCATCGCAGCTGTGGAGAACCTTTTGAACAGGAAAAGGACTTGTTTGAAACTGGGATTAAAATCCCTCCAACATAGCTGGCAAACTGAATAAATGTGGAAGGGGAATATTTTGTAAAGTCAATCATTATCATGTCTTAAGATCAAACTTTCAATGTGAGGCTCAGAACTTATCAATTAAATCTGTGCCTTCATATGTACATACACACAGGACAAGGGCCAGTTGACGACAAAGGTGTTCCTGCAGCTGTGATAAGTGTTCCCTGGAAATATAGGTACACACAGGGCCAGTAGATGACATAGGTGTTCCCGCAGCTGTGATAAGTGTTCCCTGGAAATATAGGTACACACAGGGCCATTAGATGACATAGGTGTTCCTGCAGCTGTGACAGGTGTTCCCTGGAAATACAGGTATACACAGGGCCAGTAGATGACATGGGTGTTCCCGCAGCTGTGATAAGTGTTCCCTGGAAATATAGGTACACACAGGGCCAGTAGATGACATAGGTGTTCCCGCAGCTGTGATAAGTGTTCCCTGGAAATATAGGTACACACAGGGCCAGTAGATGACATAGGTGTTCCCGCAGCTGTGATAAGTGTTCCCTGGAAATACAGGTACACACAGGGCCATTAGATGACATAGGTGTTCCTGCAGCTGTGACAGGTGTTCCCTGGAAATACAGGTATACACAGGGCCAGTAGATGACATGGGTGTTCCCGCAGCTGTGATAAGTGTTCCCTGGAAATATAGGTACACACAGGGCCAGTAGATGACATAGGTGTTCCCGCAGCTGTGATAAGTGTTCCCTGGAAATATAGGTACACACAGGGCCAGTAGATGACATAGGTGTTCCCGCAGCTGTGATAAGTGTTCCCTGGAAATACAGGTACACACAGGGCCATTAGATGACATAGGTGTTCCTGCAGCTGTGACAGGTGTTCCCTGGAAATACAGGTATACACAGGGCCAGTAGATGACATGGGTGTTCCTGCAGCTGTGACAGGTGTTCCCTGGAAATACAGGTACACACAGGGCCATTAGATGACATAGGTGTTCCTGCAGCTGTGATAAGTGTTCCCTGGAAATAGAGGTACACACAGGGCCAGTAGATGACATAGGTGTTCCCGCAGCTGTGATAAGTGTTCCCTGGGAATCCAGGTACACACAGGGCCATTAGATGACATGGGTGTTCCCGCAGCAGTGACAGGTGTTCCCTGGAAATACAGGTACACACAGGGCCATTAGATGACATAGGTGTTCCCGCAGCTGTGATGAGTGTTCCCTGGGAATCCAGGTACACACAGGGCCATTAGATGACATGGGTGTTCCTGCAGGTGTGATAAGTTTTCACAAGGGATGAAGTGATGAAGTCATGTTTTAGAACTGGACAGACATCTGAGAGTATTTGTGTTTATGTAAGTGACTGTGTCATGTATTTCTGTCTGATATAAGCTATGGGTGATGGTTATTCCTACAAACAAATGATATACTGAAATTTATGTAGATTTGGGATTACAAACTTGCTGAATATCATATTCAGCAAACTGGTACAAGACTGGTTAGATGATTTCCTTTACTTTCCTAACTCTCACAAGTTATGAGTTAAATGTTTTGCAACTGTAGGCATGATCAGTGAGGTGTGAAGTGGAGCAGTGTCTGAATGTGGCACTGCTGCATGGACAAGGCCACAGCAGGCTTACACGGTGTTCTGTAGTATTGACTGTATTCAGTAATCGTTAATCTTTGGAGTGTTTGTTTTGAAATTAATCTTTTTTATTTATATTATCCATAGAATGTTCACCTTACTAACAATTCAAAGTCCCATATGGTCATTTTTTGTGGGTGTTGTGTTCTTTAATCACACTGAAAAATGGGTTACACTCCTGATACGGTTTCAAAAGGCCATTTCTTATGCCGCCGCCTTGATGTGGTTTGAATGTTGTTGAAAGCTGCATAAGTCCCTATCATTGTGACCAAGGATTACATTACACGCTAGCAAAACTATTTGGGAAACTATTGTGAGCTTGAGTTGTTGTACACATGAGGTAGCTAATGGAGCCTGTGTGTCATGCAGGTTGTCCGGAGATCACCGTCCCCGTGAAGGACGTGGATGTGAGGGAGGGGGATGACGTGGTGCTGGAGTGTGCTGCCACAGCCGACCCTGCACCCGCGGTCACCTGGTATCTGGGGTATCAGCAGATAGATGCAGATGATAATCGGTATCATACACACTTTGTTGAAGCCAGTGGCAAGGCCACCCTCACCATCTGCTGTGCCGAAAACATGGACAGTGGTCAGTTTCGCTGTGTGTTCACCAATCAGTATGGAGAGGCAGAGACCAAGAACTCAGTTACAGTCAAGAGTGAGTTTGTCTTGCCAAGAACACAATAACATAATCTTAGATATTGTTGCCTGTGTCAGTTAATGTAGATTCTACCATGACATTGATGAATGCTTGATTCTGATTGGTTAAAAAGAGGTTTCCTTTTTGCTACGGAAACACCTTTCAAATATATTAAGCCTTTTCACAAAAAACGTGTGTATGAATATATAAATAGCCTACAAAGCTGAGCGATCACCCCCACATGAACTGTAAAACGTATCTATATTTCCTCTATTGCACGCTGGGTCTCTAATACCAGCCAGGTTTCTAATACACGCCGAGTCAAGGACTCTCGCAAAATTAATAGACGGCATAGCGCCAAATGGAGGAAATATGGTAGTTTGATATCAGATGTTTTGGGCGTTGGCTAGGCCGCAACCCTGACTGCTTAGATGATGACATTAAAAGATTTAACGAAGGCATATCTTTTGCATACAGATGAAATGTTTATGAAACTGTTAGGGAAATCTTCTATGGTGACCAGAATTGGAACAGTTTTAAGCTATTTCCTCATTTGAAACAACCAACAATGAAAGTAAAATAGAACATTATAAAAATTGTTTGAAAAAACTTTATTCATGACAACATGTTGTTTACAAACCTTTTTGTGATCAATATTCGTCGCTATCTCCGTCAACCACCATCGTAAGGATTTCGCAGAAGAGAATTTGAAAGTCCATCACTCAACTTGTCCATTCGAAAAGCCACGACAACAATGTCCCGACATCATTGAAGTCAAACTTGATGAAATTCATTTCAGAACACGCACAATTAAGAAAATCGTACACTCTGGCTTAGAATCCATGAAATCTTGAAATTGGAGGTCACACCATGCAGATACTGAGATAGGCCCAACCTGGTGTAAAAATGTCCGGCTCGTCTGCAGGCTAAAAAACGGCTGTTCAGTCATACTCAGTTCCATTGGTAGTCATCAGCAGGCTTGATCATTCCCGGTAAATCTACAGGTTAATGTTGAACCACATCATAGATCGGGGTTGTCATCTTGCTTAATTTAACCAGCAACGGAGAATGTTAACACAAGATTGTCAGCCATTGACAGCTGCGAGGTGTGAGTAACCGTGAAGTAGGTCAAGTTCTGCCACATCCAAGTTCGGGGTGGAGAGGCATTTATTTTGATGTTATTATTGTTTACTGGGGGTAATTGCTAACTAACTAATAACACTTACACATGTTAAATGTATTATAGAATGTTAATTCAAAAAGTTTGTTGTAGAAATATATTCGTCTAGCATTATAAAACCTTTTTCTACATCCTGTCACCCCTACAATAGAAATGATGGCATGTTCGATTTCCAAGAAATGACCTCTCTCGCAAAATTCCAAGAATTGACAGTCAGTCCACAGTGTACAACCGTGTACATCAAGTTGGTAGAGATTAAAACATCTGTCTTTGGACTAAGTTTGGAGTGTTATTTGTCAACTTCTTTTGAAAAACTATTTATTTTAAAGACTTATTTTGAATTACTCACGACTATGGTGTTTTTAATCTTGAACTTTTGTAATAATTGTTACATATATAACTGCCTGTGACCACTTTTCGGAATGTTCTAAGATTGCAGACCTGTGTGCCTGTGTTGTTACGAGGTGCAAGAGAGCGCCGTTTTCAAAGCGTTGTTGCCGTCATGGTAGAATGGAGATAAACCTACTGTGTTTTGAAATTTGATGTAGTCCCACTGTAGAGTAGATACCTCTTTATTTTAATTTTGAACCAAGCACTTTAGTAGCTACATCAAATTTCAAAACACAGTAGGTTTATCTCCTAATTGGATAAGTTAGACATATATTTTATTGTGATAGTATTTTAGTAGTTCATTTGATAAAGTTGTGATTCCCTGATACCTGTATCTGTTGCCTATGCATGAAAGCCCATGATACCATCACAAGTATATCCAAACTATATATCTTCCTGATTCTCAGTTCCATGTTTGTTTCTCAGCTGTTTTATCCAGGTCACTTCCCATCCAATGTCCATCCAAGCAATCCCACTGTATCCTTCCTATCTGCCACATATCACCCATCTCACCAATGACATCCTCAGGGGCCCTTTACCCGCCAATTCCCATCTAACCCGATTTTCCCTTCACAGACCATCTCACCATCCCACCTCCAATGACCATCTCACCGTCCCCTTCCCATTCAATGGCCATGTCAAAGGCCTCTGCCCTGTTCAAGAACATCTCAACAGCCCCTTTCCCTTCAATGGCCATTTCACCAGCCCCCAGCTTTCCTTCCAGCAACCATCTTCCTGGCCCCTCAAGTGACCATCCATCAGCCCCTTCTCTTCACTTGTTATTTTATTGGTCCTTCCCCATCCCCTTGTTCATGTTCCCCTGTCTGTCACCTGCATGACATTTACCCTTGTGGGATTTCCAGAGAAACCTGAGAAAGTCCCAGTGTTTTCATTGGGTCTGCATGATGAGACGGTGATAGAGGGGCACTCCATCACCTTGACCTGTACAGTGGCAGATGCTGAGACCATTGGTTGGTACAAGGATGGGTTTGTCCAACGCAACTCCTCAGACTTCAAGCAGAGCTATGATGGAGATGTTGCCCGTCTCGAGATTGGAGAAGTCTTTCTGGATGATGTTGGGGAATATGCCTGTGTTGCTCGCAATGAGTTGGGGGAGGATCGCACGGCATGCCAAATAACTGTGACAGGTAGCACTTGATCAGATTCCACAGTTTCACTGACTAGTAATACAAAAATTAGAATAAGAATCATCCTTAAGTTAGGACTGGACTGTGAGTACTGTATTTCACCATGCCACTCTTTCTTGAATACTTTATATCAACATGTTTTGAAAACTCAGAATGATATATTGCATGATCCAAACACTGTCACCTGAATATTAACTTCCATCTTCATGCATGTATAATATTATATGCCTGTGCACCACAAAACTCTTGCATGTACAGTCCTTATGCCATTTTAGGAATGTATGCATGAGTTATAGCATCTTCTTAGAATTCACATTCTAGTGCTATTATTTACCCTTTCCACATCAGTCTGCTTGCATGTATTGACATACTATCAGCAACTAGACTGAGATCTGACTGCTGGTTTCAGCCTGTGACACGGAGACGTCCGTTGTGCCCATGTTCCTCACCAAGTTCACCAAGTCTGTCATCAAGGTCGGGGACAAGCTCCTCCTGGAGTGTGATATTATTGGGTCACCAGAACCAGGGATCAACTGGACCAAAGATGGCCGTCCTCTGCGGGAGGACTGCCCATATAACGAAATGTACGACGGACGTACAGCAAAACTTGAAATAGAGGATGTCACAACCGATGATTCAGGGAAATATGAATGTATTGCTGTTAATGAAGCTGGTCGAGTGTCTCTTGATGCCAGTGTCACAGTGCAGGGTAAGATCAACCTGACTAAATACATGTAGGGATTTTGAAGCATTGAAGTTATATCCATTGTTCCAAGTTAGTCACGGTGTAGATCTTTGATCTCAGTGAGATTATGCTTGTTATCTGTTATCATTTCAGTAAAGAACAAGTCTCCATCTGTGACGGTTCCACTGTGTGATGTGGACATTAAGGCAGGTGAGAGTGCCATCTTGACTTGTCACATCTCAGGCTTTCCACAGCCAAGCGTCCTATGGAGGAAGAATGGAATGTTGATTGGGCACACCAAGGACTTTAAACAGATGTATGATGGCAGGATAGTGAAACTGGAGATCTATGGAGTGTGTTTCCAGGACAGTGGGCAGTATGAATGTGTCGCACGCAATGGACTGGGAGAGACTTCAACCACATGTCTACTCACAGTGAAAGGTTTGTGCCAGACTGTTTAATAGACACAAGCACCTGTTTAGCTATCTTGAGCTTTTTTTCGCTCAAAGTCTAAATTACAAATAGGTTAACATTCACAACTCATGCTTCAAACACAGGAGACAAAGCTGTTGTTATGACACTGACTTTGGAGGAGTTGTACAGTGGGAGATTACATGCGCTGGACTCATGCCGAATGTAGGCGGCTACAGCAAGCTGTCATTTGGTATGATGTTGGCTAAATGAGAATTACAGAAACGACAGGTGTTATTTGTTGTTTTTTGGTTCTTGTGATGGTTGTGTTGAAACTGACTGATGCCTGATACTTAGAGTAATATCAAGTTATTCAGTTGGACATTGTATTTATGGGTATTTGCAATTGTATGAGTCAATTGTTTAAAGGTACTTGTTTCTGTGATTATTAGTTACCTGAAGATATTTCCTTAAATATTGGGGTACGGCACAGAAACTCATTATTGGTATCAGCCACAGGCTGAATCAAGCTAAATCCTGATTGGCTAAATATATGCAGTGCTCTAATTAACGCAATTAGCATGAAATTTGAAGACATTTTAACAGCCTCATCTAAAAAATTACCTCTGGCACTGCACTGGTATGGCTTTCTAAACAGTTTAAGGGGAGAACTCTTCATGATTGGGCTGGGCTAAGTGATGGAAGCCACAGAAATCCTGATAAAAGGAGGATGTCTACAGGAGAATTAAGAAGGCTGATGTGGTGAGATAAGCATGATCAGTAGAAAAAATATTTGAAGGTTTCAATATAACATGTATTATATATGATCCAAGCTAAATCATCTCCACAGTTCCATCACAAATCACAGTAATAGTACAGTTTAAAGAGTGTAAACCTTGACATGTAATCATCAACATACCACAACAAAGGTTATCTTACATGTTAATATTTAGGAATTGTTCTCATCAATATGACAAGTCACAAGATTGCTATATTTATTATAGTTACTATCTCTGAGACAATGTTTTTTCAAGTTTGACATTGCACTTTAAATACTGTAACTTATTTTTACTAATCCCCTCACGACCTCCCTCAATATGCCCAAAGATGAATTAATATATAGGAGTATCAGAGACCCAAGTCTGAATTTTGGAGGATTGCGTGCAGGTGGTGTGTGTTGGGGATTTATTTCAGAGTGTTTCAAGAACTTAACATGATTAAATATTGAATTATTGTAAAACCACAAAAGCTGCCATTGGTAAAAAATGAGATTTCATACTGTTATTATTATAATGGCGGATCATGAGATTGGGGTGGGTTTGGGAAGTGCACATGATCATGTACTGTTGTAATTTACTTCTCAAATACATTCATTACTTTTGTATTAATGATAAATATTAACTTGAAATGTTCACTTTTTTCATTTTCAATCAGAATTCATAATGTGATCAAGCACAGGCAATATACATGAAAATGTGCCTATTATATTAATATAGTAATGTATTGTTTACCTTTCACCAGCTAATAATAGCTTAGCTTTAGATTACAAGTATGTTATAAAATGAAAAATATGTTTATATTAAATATTTGCCATTTGAAGAATTTATCTGAGGTCATTTTTTAGATGAGGCTGTCAAAATGTCTTCAAATTTCATGCTAATTGCTTTAATTAGAGCACTGCATATATTTAGCCAATCAGGATTTAGCTTGATTCAGCCTGTGGCTGAAATCTACTTCTGCTCAGGGTTCGTAACCTTTTTCGAGGTTTACGAAATAAACTGTTGATATTTCGGTAAGTAAGGGACATTCAGCAAATTTAGATGACTTGTACATGAGTAGAAATGTGGTATTTATCAATCTACGGCCAGAAATGGGCTTGTCAATAAGCGGATCTTAAAGAAATCGACCTGGATATCGAATGTAAACACACCGGCAAGATGGCAATGCATTGTGTTCCTGGCCCAAGTGAGGCACAGAGATGTGACTCTGTGATGTACTCACTGACAAAAGAAACGCAATTACCATGCATTTGGTTAATATATGAAAAATTACTCATATTCAAGAGATATTAGATTGGTTCGATGCACAAACAAACAAACTGTTAGGTTGCATGAAACGTTGCTCGTGAGCGCATCACATGTAACGTCATAGATCCATGACTCGTGATACACCATTTGTCTCGTGCAGCATAAGATTGTAAAGTTTGGAAATCATGTGCAGCATATCGTGATAAGAATAAAGACACTCTGTGGTAACACTTGATTCATTGTTAGTTTTGTCATTAAGTGGAGTGTACATATTTCTCTATATGTGAGGTACAGAGATATGAGTCTACAATGCACTGATTGCATGGCCCAAGTGAGATAGATATAACTCTATGATGCACTGAGTGCATGGCCCAAGTGAGGTACAGAGATATAACTCTATAATGCACTGAGTGCATGGCCCAAGTGAGATAGATATGACTCTATGATGCACTGAGTGCATGGCCCAAGTGAGGTACAGAGATATAACTCTATAATGCACTGGGAGTATGGCCCAACCAGCTACCTAGATATGAATTTTTCTTGTTGTAGTGACAATAAATTTGTTTTCCTGCAGATACATCAGCCCCACAAGAATCAATGTTGCCACCATCCTCCAACATGTCCAGTTCACCGATCACAAGATCTACAACGCCACCACAAACCATCATTGGTCTAGCCTTGTCTCGTCCTGCCTCACAGCGGAGTAGTCATGGACCTCTACACCTGTCTTCTCCCACCAGCCCTACAGCTTCACAGAACATCAGCAGCAGTTCTGTGGGACAGGCAACTTCCCATACATCTACCAAGGTAGTGTCACCCTTGGTCTCTCCATCTACTGCATTGCCCACCCACATTATTGGGAAGGCTCTGACAAGGTCCGCTTCCATGACCATCACTACTGTAGCCTCTTCTGCAACCTCTCCATCAGCTCCATTACCAGCAGATGTTATTGGGAGTGCTGAAACGTTGTCATCTTCCAAGATGTCTACAAGTTTAGTCACTTCTCAAGAATGCAAGGCTTCTGCTTCTTTCACAAGATCAGCCTCCCAGAGATCTATCACGGTAATCTCTTCTCCAGAATCTTCTCCCACCACTCCATTGTCATCTCATGTCCTTGGTAAAGCCATTACAAGGTCAGCCTCGCAGAGAGTCACATCATCCTCTCAGAGCAGCTCATCACCACCACAGAGCATTATTGGAAAAGCACTAGAAACTTTAGCTGCCAAGTCACCTTCATCACATCAGAATGTAAGCAGATCATTGTCCTCGCCAACCAATACTCAAATAGAAATATTAACAAAGCCACTAACTGGCACTGTTGGTGATCCTCCACGGATAATAAGAAACATTCCAAGTACTGAATCCATCTCTGTTCCTGCAAGGTCCAAGCCTCTCAATACCATTGGTAAATTCCTTGCACTGTCCGCAGCTAAGGACTTGGGTCCATCATTCCCCATCAGGACTACACTAGATAGTCCCACAGAAAGAAGCCCCAGCCCAGTCACACCAACACAGCACCAGGAGAGCAGTAACCTCAAGAAAGCTCAGACACAGACACAGACACAGACACTACAACTGTCCAAAGTGCAGCAATTACGTTTGCAGTTCTTAGGCGAGGCCAACCAAACCAAACAGAATAAAGTCAGTAGTGCACCAATCAGAAGATGGCATTCTCTTCCTCCACAAGACCTCAAGCCAATCATTGTCAAGGTCAGTCTGTTTTCGTCTCAGTCCTTAGTATAAGCAACAAATGAAGCTATCTCTATGGTTGTTAATAGATTTGAGATTGATACTTAGAACATAGCTTTTTGAGACATGAGGTAATAAAACAATATTGATGTTTCATGAATACCAGCTACATATTTTTCTCATAGCTCAAACATACCACTCAAGGCTGCTGTGGAAATGCTCCTGTCACTTGATATAGAACAATGTTTGTTCATAGTGCCTCAAACCTATGAGTGAAAGTTGAAATATGTCATGTATGGCAATGTTGCTTGTTCAACAATTAAAACAAATGCTCATTTTTGTGTTTTGACATGAATTGGGAAGGGTCAGACATACATGTAGTTTGGAGGATGTGAAGTTGGAAGGGTCAGACATACATGTAGTTTGGATGATGTGAAGATGGAAGGGTCGGACATACATGTAGTTTGGAGGATGTGAAGTTGGAAGGGTCGGACATACATGTAGTTTGGAGGATGTGAAGTTGGAAGGGTCAGACATACATGTAGTTTGGAGGATGTGAAGTTGGAAGGGTCAGACATACATGTAGTTTGGAGGATGTGAAGTTGAAAAGGTCGGACATACATGTAGTTTGGAGGATGTGAAGTTGGAAGGGTCGGACAAACATGTAGTTTGGAGGATGTGAAGTTGGAAGGGTCGGACATACATGTAGTTTGGAGGATGTGAAGATGGAAGGGTCGGACATACATGTAGTTTGGAGGATGTGAAGTTGGAAGGGTCAGACATACATGTAGTTTGGAGGATGTGAAGTTGGAAGGGTCGGACATACATGTAGTTTGGAGGATGTGAAGTTGGAAGGGTCGGACATACATGTAGTTTGGAGGATGTGAAGTTGGAAGGGTCGGACATACATGTAGTTTGGAGGATGTGAAGTTGGAAGGGTCAGACAAACATGTAGTTTGGAGTATGTGAAGTTGGAAGGGTCAGACATACATGTAGTTTGGATGATGTGAAGTTGGAAGGGTCGGACATACATGTAGTTTGGAGGATGTGAAGTTGGAAGGGTCGGACATACATGTAGTTTGGAGGATGTGAAGATGGAAGGGTCGGACATACATGTAGTTTGGAGGATGTGAAGTTGGAAGGGTCGGACATACATGTAGTTTGGAGGATGTGAAGTTGGAAGGGTCAGACATACATGTAGTTTGGATGATGTGAAGTTGGAAGGGTCGGACATACATGTAGTTTGGATGATGTGAAGTTGGAAGGGTCGGACATACATGTAGTTTGGAGGATGTGAAGTTGGAAGGGTCGGACATACATGTAGTTTGGAGGATGTGAAGTTGGAAAGGTCGGACATACATGTAGTTTGGATGATGTGAAGTTGGAAGGGTCAGACATACATGTAGTTTGGATGATGTGAAGTTGGAAGGGTCAGACATACTTGTAGTTTGGATGATGTGAAGTTGGAAGGGTCAGACATACATGTAGTTTGGATGATGTGAAGTTGGAAGGGTCGGACATACATGTAGTTTGGATGATGTGAAGTTGGAAGGGTCGGACATACATGTAGTTTAGAGGATGTGAAGTTGGAAGGGTCAGACATACATGTAGTTTGGAGGATGTGAAGTTGGAAGGGTCGGACATACATGTAGTTTGGATGATGTGAAGTTGGAAGGGTCGGACATACATGTAGTTTGGATGATGTGAAGTTGGAAGGGTCAGACATACATGTAGTTTGGATGATGTGAAGTTGGAAGGGTCGGACATACATGTAGTTTGGAGGATGTGAAGTTGGAAGGGTCAGACATACATGTAGTTTGGATGATGTGAAGTTGGAAGGGTCAGACATACATGTAGTTTGGATGATGTGAAGTTGGAAGGGTCGGACATACATGTAGTTTGGAGGACATGAAGCGGGAAAATCATGATGATTTTAAATCTCATAACACCAAAAGGAGAAGAGTTTGATCTCACTTATGAACCGAATAAAAAACCTGAAAGAACATTTATCAACAATTTTATGTTTTAAACATATCTTTCATGAACCTCAGGGCACAGATATACAATATCTGTACTGCTGTAAATATACTTGAGAAAGAGATTCTTCAAAGCATTGTGATCTATCGTCGCCTGTGTTGCCTGGTGCTTGACTCACTGGGCTACAGATAAGAAGATGCAGATTCAGTTCACTGAAACATGAAGAAGACATTAGTCATTTGATTTTACATCATGCCACATATTTCGTCATGTAGATTGTGATGGACATTCTATAGAATATCCCTTAGACGTCATGACTTTCTATAGAATATCCCTTGGACACAATGACTTTCTACAGAATATCCTTTGACAACATAACTTTCTATTGAATATTCCTTGGACATTATGACTTTCTATTGAATATCCCTCGGACAAAATGACATTCCATAGAATATCCCTTGGACAAAATGACTTTCTATAGAATATCCCTTGGACATCATGACATTCTGTAGAATATCCCTTGGACAACATGACTTTCTATAGATTATTACCCATATGGGCTCAAATATGCAGTGTAATAACTTTTTGATATTTGCACAGTGTGCAATTAGTGATTCTCGAAGCTGATTGGTCAGTTTTGTCAAATGTCAATTTTCATTGGTCAACGGGACTATTTTTCTCTCATTGAGTTCATTCACAAATCCAGAGCATTCATTCACATGTTTTACGTGCTACAATCTCACTTAATCGAGATTTATGAGACTAGAACAAAGTTTCATATCAACCACATGATTTCACAGTATAATGAATAAAGCATTTATTTCGCACGAGTTTTAGTTTACAATAAGCGTAATTACAAAAAACAAAACTACGTCTGCATTGTTTGTAAACAAACATGGCTGACCATTTGACACCTGTCAAACTAAATGACCTCGTTAAAGTAGACGGAGATCTGACAGGAAGAGTTATTCGCATAATTCAACCTCTGAACACATTTAATGTCTTTGTTGTCAAAACTGCATATGGCCAGATTGAAGTTCCAAGTTTCAGATTGTGATGTTGCCAGAAACTGTTTCTAGTGCGCTAAAACTCAACACCACCAAGTCCAGATTTGCGTCTGTGTTAGAGGACTTGCTGTTTGGCGGATCTTTCGACCACACGAATCCCCAAAACCGGACTTTGTATAGACAGGTTTGCCTTTGTGAACGATGATGACATCGATAACTGCCAATGAAAAGGAAAACACAATGAAAAAGACTAAATTTGACAAGTTGACATGAACTTAGTTCAAATTTATACTGGTAAGAAAAACACGAAAAATAAGACTACTCACACTTTCAATGATGGCATAAGAATAAAAACAAATTCCTTTTGCAACAACAGTTAGACTTTCCGAAAGACATTATAAACATACGCCATTTCGTAGAATTTAAGTTTGTAACATTGTGTGAAGAAATAAGAACGCGACACTTTTTTATACAATGTATACGTTTTTGTAACCGCGACGTCAGCACAGTACGGCGCTGAGCGGTATGCAGGCTGACTGACGTCCGGGCACCATAAGACTATGAGGGTTAATGACACAGGAAAGGTGCAACTAAACATTATTCTTTGCAAATTTATCATTTCGGCATGCACATCAGACGGTTCAGAATTCGAAATGCCTACTTTGAAGGAGATCAAGGGTAGCACCGAGTGCTACCTTAGCGACAAGATTACCAACATCTGGTTGCGAAATCGATGCACTTTGCTGAACTCAAATAGGTTTTGAAATCAAAACAAAAATAATTAAAAATACAAGGAAAAGAAAACTTACCCCAGCGAGGTGATCCTGTGTCCAACATTGAACTAAATGAGCTCCGTGAATGCGGACAGCTTGTCACCAAGTCTCCAGATACCGTGTTAGTCTATCAACAGGTATTCGACCATATTATGAATCACATCAAAATATCAACAAACTCCCGTTATCTGACTGTGTCCACTCCACAAGCGCGTTTGACTCAAACAAGTCCTCCTAGAATCCCACATGCACATGTTTCCCATCAGTCACACTTGTCTCAAATCACAAACGATGTTCATTAAACTTGTTGTCCGGATTAAACTGTAACGCCGGTTCTCTTGTCATTCCTGGTTTCGGCTGTCTCATATCTTGGTCAAGTCGGGTCATTCTTTCCGACACTGACAGCAATCGTATTTTTCAAAGTTTACCTACTTGTCGTAACTTTTCTCAATCAAACATGACTTCTGTACATTCCTTCTATGTTGTTGATACAGGTTTTTGCATTTTTACCGAATGACACATGAAAAAATTGACATGTTTTCCGTGTTTCCTCTTCTCAATGTGAAATTCATGTCCATGGTGATGCACGACGGCTATTGTCTTGTCAATGAGAGGTCTTGTCAAAACAAGCCTTGATTAAAAAGCCTGTTGAACCTTTTTTGAAAATTGTCTTCTTTTATCAATGGTAGATAGTGTACGCTGTATAACTCAGACAGAAATATAACTGCAATAATGTGATCTTTCAAGTTTTGTTAACAGAACTATATTTTTACGCGTAGCAAGACGTTGTTGATTGAGTAATGCGGCTGGAGTGAGTGGACAGTGTTTTTTTCACACGCGGATTGATACAAAACAGCTGATTCTTGATCGGCGACAGTTCATTGTTTTTTTCTTGAAACATGTCTTTAATATGAATATGGGTAATAAATAGAATAACCCACGAGGTACGAGTGATTACGGAAAATATGTCACTCGTGAAATTAATCTTTTAATTTCCTCGCTAAAGCTCGGAACTTAAACCATTAATTTCACTCGTGACATATTTTCCGTAATCACTCGTACCTCGTGGGTTATTCTATAAATATCCCTTGGACATCATGACTTTCTATATAATATCCCTTGGACATCATAACATTCTGTAGAATATCCCTTGGACATCATGACATTCTATAGAATATCCCTCGGACATCATGACTTTCTACAGAATATCCCTTGGACACAAAGACTTTCTACAGAATATCCTTTGACAACATAACTTTCTATT